AGTAAAAAAGTTACAGTAAGCTAAGGCTAATTTACTTAAGAAGAATATTTTTAAAAATTTAATGTAGCCCAAGTCTACAGTATTTATAAAGTCTACAGCAGTGTACAGCAATGTACTAGGCCTTCCCATTTACTCACCACTCACTCGCTGACTCATGCAGAGCAACTTCCAGTCTTGCAAGCTCCATTCATGGCAAATGCCCTATACAGATGTGCCTTTTTTTTTTTTTTAAAGAGTCTTGCTCTCTTGCCCCTGGTAGAGTACCGTTGGCATCATCATAACTCACTACAACCTCAAACTCCTGGGCTTAAGCAATCCTCCTGTCTCAGCCTCCCAGGCTGGGACTACAGGTACATGCCTCCATGCCCAGCTAAGTTTTCTATTTTTTGTAAAGACAGGGTCTCGGGGTCTCGCTCTTGCTCTGGCTGGTCTTGAACGCCTGACTTTAAGCTATCTTGTGACCTTGGCCTCCCAGAATGCTAGAATTACAGGCATGAGCCTCCATGCCTGGCCCCATTTATCTTTTATACAGTATCTTTACTGTATCTTTTCTATGTTTAGATACATAGACCACACTGTTATGTTACAATTGTCTATAGTATTCAGTATAGTACCGGATTATACAGGTTTGTAGCCTAGGAGCAACAGGCCACACAACATAGTCTCGGTGTGTAGTAGGCTACACCATCTAGGTTTGTGTAAGTACACTATGATGTTCACAAGACAAAACTGCCTAAAGATACATATGGTGGAACGTATCACCATTGTTAAGTGGTGCATGACTGTATAAGCTTCAACCATCTGACCTTTTTCAAGTCTCACATTTTGTACATGCATATGCACGAAATTAAAATGGCTTTTCTCCTGCTAATCTGTCTATTGTCAGTTTATTTCATAGACTCAATTATCTTTCAGAAGGCAGACAGAATGTTTTCCCTCCCCTACAGTAACTTGCCCTATGCCGCACAGCCTGGAAGTGGCAGAGCTAGAACCAGCATTTTGCACCATGCAGTCTGACTCTGAGTCCACTTCCTTAGCCACTGTGCTCTACTGCCTCAGGTGGTATTAAAAGCTGCTTAGGCAAATTCAAGCCCTGGAGAGTCCTAACCCAGTGAGGCTTCCCTCTGCGTCTGGGTACCCAGAGAACTCAGGGGCCCAGAGCCAGCCTCTACCTGTAAAGTGAAGAATCTCCGTCCACTGTTTGCAGATATAGATCTGGACATCTGTGCCCCCAAGGGCCAGGTAGGTACCGCTCTGGTCAAAGATCAGTGACTTCACCTATGAGAACCAGAAAGAGTGTTTACACAAGGGGAACAGAAACCATGGGGCAATTGGGGATTAACAGATGCAATTTAGATTAATTCAGTAAATAATCAACAAATGAAGAGAAGCAACGGAGAGAGCTGGGGAGGAGGGGGGCACACCTCAAAATTGTTATCCAGCTGCAATGTCTTAAAGTTCTTAAGCTTGCGCAGATCCCAGAGCTTGACAGAGGAGTCGTCCGCCGCTGTAGCCAGGTAGTAGCCATTCTCCGAGAAGGCAATGCTGGTGATGGGGCCTGAGTGGCCAGGGAAGTTGGCCACATTGGTGCGCTCCTACAGTTGGGGGGTGGGTAGTAAAATACGTCACCCCCTGACCATGAGAGGAAGAAAGTGGGGCTCACCAAACACCTGAGGAGTGCTCCTTTGTCCTTCCAGGAAGAACCAGCAGGAACAGCACGGGTAGACGGCCAGACCCAGGACCCCCCAGATCACACCCATCACATCATACGCGCAGAGCCACTATCACTCCACCCTCGGGACACGTCCAGGGCTAGGTGTCATAAGCGCCTAATCAGCAACACACCTTCACGAAAGCATGTGTTCCCTCTGACCTGGGCCTCAGATAGAGGCCTTCCATGTCCTACCTTCAAGTCCCAGATCTTGATCTGAGAGTCCATGGTTCCTGTTCCAAAGATCAGTCCGTCAGGGTGGAACTGTGCACAGGTGAGAGCTGTGGACAAGCGGAGATGGACCTGAGGTCAGAGCCCACCCAGGAGACGCTAAGAGCAGTAAAGGTAGGTTCCCTGTTCTTCACATTACTCACTGTGCCCGGCACAAAGCCTGGCGCTAGGCAGGGACTGGTGGTAAATGTATATTTAGAAGAAAAAATGAGCAAAATGACTAAATAAAACAAAAGCAAATGATAAACAGCAAACAAAAGAGCCCAGCACCTCTGAGACAACTTACAGCAGCCAGAGGTCTCATCTGTCACCTTGGTGAGCACGCGCCCTGTCTGGATGTCAGAGAAAGCCCAGTACTGAAAAGAAAAGAGACAATGGAGCCAGTGAGAAAGTAGGTCCCAGGCTCTGGTAGCCCTTCGGGAAGGCAAAGACCTTGGTTTGGTGACCCCTGGCAAAGCTAATGCCTCCCAGCAAAAAGAAAACCGTCTCCATTGAGGCTCTGGGGAACCGGCTGGTAAGATGTTCCCTCTTCCCAGGATGTTTAAACTTGGGAACCAACAGGCCTCTTTAGGGCCCTGACTAGGACCGCACCTGGTCATCAGAAGAGCTCAGGAGATAGTCACCAGTGGCGTGGAGGCTGAGGCCTGTCACAGCGCTCTCATGTGCCCGAACAACCTGTACACAGGAGGCATTCGGGACCGACCAAATCCTGATAGTGGCATCTGGAGAGGCAGAAAACACCAGGTCCTAAAAGGAAAGCAAAGAGGCAGAATATGAGAGACAGAAAAGAGATGGACAACAACGATCTTACAAAAGGGAACTGGGGATGGCCACGACTACAAACAACTGCTCCTCCTTTCAACCCTGCCCTTCCTGGAATCATCTGTCCATACATGATGCTGAGAGGGCCCATGGCAAACGCTATTAAAATGATAACTCCAATGGCATCAGGCCTTGCCATCTAGTGGTAAGAAGGACAACTGCAACGGAAAGCAACCTCCCAACCCATTTTTACTACAACTGAAGGAGAAATGTGACTAGCACAATTGAGGAAGTGTATTTTCTTTTATTTAATTGAAATTTACATAGCCCCATGTAGCTAATGGCTACTGTATTGGAAGGCACAGGTCTGAGCAACACCGGGACTGAAAGGGGCAAATTAATTATGTGAGCTCATATTTCAGTGCATCCCACACTTACGAATTTCAGGGGCAAATCAATTTTCCAAAAGACTTGGAGCAGGTAAAGAATTTACACAGTGTCACGAACCAATTATTTTGGTTAGTTAAGATATAAAAGCCATAAGGTAAAAACAACTATCACCTTTCATCAACGTGATTTCGTAAGAGATGTAACTATTATTAACACCAAGTAAGCAGGAAAATAGTGCTTTTAATTTAAATAAATTTAGTTTTATGGAAAATTCACCACGTTATTCTTTTATTTCTCATTTCCCTAAGGTCCAAGCTAAGGGCAAGGCTGACTGTCTGGGAAGCACTGATCAGACCCAAACTGTTATTGGCCTAAAACTCAAATCCCGTAATATCATTATTCTGGTCTCGTGAGTTACCTTTACCCTATAAATCAGAGGTTCTCTTTATTTGTAACCCACACCGCTTTCAATGGTCAACATCAAGTTTCTACCACCTCCACCCTTAAGAATCATGGGAAAGCAAACACATCTGTCTTCCTCAGATATTTGTGACTCAAGATTATGTTGAGCTTTGTCTTCTGTAGTTTGCATTATAAACACTGTAAGGTGGTTTTTTTTTTTATTTTTCCCTAATATAAAATATTTCAATGAATATGCTTTGTCAAACCATCCATTTCCTTTCTCCCCTCGTCTGAAGACCCCTGCTTTAGGAGGTCCTACGCAAAGTAGAGGGCAATCCCCATGGGTCCAAACAGAGGCCCTCTAAAGGCCCTCTCTCAGGAGTCAGAGCTCCTTCTCAGCTCCATGTCACCAAGGAGACAGTAGGGGACTGGGGGATGGTTCAGGGACCATTGTTTTGGGAAACAGGGCTCAGGAAAGAGGGACCAAAAGTAGCTGGGAGAACCCCTTACCTGGGAAGGGTGAAACACCACACTGGTGACCTTCTTGGTATGGCCTTTGAGGGTGGCCAGGATTTGCTCAGAACTCTTATCAAAGACAACGACATTTTTATCTGCCCCACCTGGAGAGGACCCAAATGAGACCAAAAAATGAGTCAGGCCTACCCAGGCACGTTTGCTGAAGAAGGGACTTTTGTCCCCAGGCCCACGAAGAGGACAAGGAGCATGAATCTTTCTCTGCTGCCCCTCCCCACTTTAGCCTGCTGGGCCAGGCCCACACTCTTACCAGTGAGGATCTTGTTGGTGTCAGAGGGACAGAGGTCCAGGGCAAGGATCCCGGGAATGCTGGCACTGTGCAAGCCCTTTGCAGAGACAGCCACACCAAACTCTGTCACAGCCAGATCACAGCAGGCCACAGCCACACAACTCCCCGACTGCCATCCCCGGTCACCCATCCCCTCAGAGTACCAAGAGTTACTTCTACTCCTTATCCATCCCACTTGGCTTTCTGCCTGGATGTGGTCATTCCCTCCTGCATTACTGGGACCCAGAGCTAGGCAGGAGAGGAGCTCTAACAACTCAGCAGCCCAGGCGACAAACAGGGCCAGAGGGCCTGGACAGCTTTCCACTCACTGCTCTCCATGCTGGCCGGCCCCACCCCAGAAACAGCGGGGGAGGGCCTGACTCCAAGTTAGTGGGGACCCGGCCACTCACCACATGGGATGCCACCTGCCGGTATTTGCTGAGCTCTTCTGGCTTCACCAACTCCTCAGGCACAGTCTTGCCCCTCTGACAAAATGAAAATGCCCCCCAAGGAAACCAGCAATAAATGCAAGATTCAGCCACCCCTCTTTCTCTTAAGGGGTCAACTGCCTCCCACCAGGCCAGCACTCTGTTGGCTCCAGAAGAGGACTCACCTTCTTACGCTCCGTGGTTAGCACGGTGGCCTTGTCTTGAAGCTGGGGAGGAACAGGCACAATGTGAGACAAATTATCTTGCCAGGACAATGGCACATTGGAGGATGGTCACATCTGTACTTTCACAAGCATCACCAAGAACTTGTTACCTGACAATTTCTACGCTAAAGGCTTACATACATTATCTCTCTTACTTTCACCCCAACTTTAGGAGGTGGGTGTTGAAGACCTTATTTTACAGCCGAGGAAACAGCCTCAGAGAAGCCAAGTCATTTGCCCAAGGTCAAAGAGGTGATAAATAACAGAGCAAGGACCTGAATCAGGTCTGTGGCACTCCCACAGGTCTGTGCCACCAAGATGAAAGCTCAGATGCATGTTGACAATCTGAACTGCTTGGAAAGACATCACCAGGCCCCACAAATGAGGATTCCACGTATAAAACAGAGCACTGGACTTAGAATCAGGAGCCCAGCTCTGCCTCTTCTGAGGTGTGTCTTTCATCTGTAAAATGAAGATGATAAATTCTTTTTTATTTTTTTTTTTTTGAGACAGAGTCTCACTCT